TGGGACCACCGACCCCTAGCTCTTACGCTCCTGCAACACCTGATTAAAATCCCTTCTAATCCCCCCAGGGACCCCAGATCCCCCCGTTGCACATGCTGTTCTTGCTCCCTCTGTCTCGGCCTCTTGGCAAACTCTTCTCGATTCTTCTAAATCCTCTCCTCTGCTCCCGCCCGGACGGTATCTTCATTTATAAAGTGGGGATAATGCTACTACCTCACGTGGTTTAGTGAGACTCCAATAAGAAACCAGGCCGGACAGTGTCCTAACCAGTGCACCTTGAGTGGATGACAGGTATGGCTTGAACGCAAACTTCTTCAGGTGACCAGCCAGAGCCTGTGACCAGCCAGAGCCCTGGGTCAGAGCCTTATCCACTTACCCAGTGTCCAGGGCAAATGATATTTCCTACCACATAAAAAGGTTGGGAAGTACCAAGATATGAAAAGTACCTAGCACTTTGCCTGGCACGTAGTAGGTGCTCAATAAATGCAAATTCTCCTTATCTACCTTATTTCTATGCTTCAACCATCTCGCTCTTCTTGCTGGCTTCGCTTCGTTCCACAGTTTCGCTTATGTGCATCTGTCTGTCCCTCCACTGTGAGAGTCTTGAGCATGGGGACAAAGTTTATTCATCTCTGTGTCTGCGTCTGGTACATAAGAAGCACTCAGCAAGTGTCTGCTGCACTGAACTTTTGAAATTGCTAGGACATAAATGAAGCAAGACCTCTGCGGTCAGTGAACACTGTCTCTGATAAAGGTGCTGCCCTGGCAGGTCACTGCTCCGTAGTGTCAGCAATAAGTACACAGACCGTTAAAGGGAACCGAGAATGCACGCAGACTGGAAGGCAAGGGCTTCCAGAACTTTCCATCTCCCGCTCCAGAATGAAAACGTCAAGAGAACGGGGCAACAGTGGCGTTAGCCAAGGTGGAACACGCGGTAGGGAGCTGCCGGAGGGGCCCCAGCGGCCGGCGACCTACCTGGTAGCGGGGGTGGAAGCCCATGTACTGGTGACATTGCTCGCAGTGGTGGTACGTGTTATACGCCGCGTACTTGGACAGCCGCATCCGTGAGGTCTGGCGCCGCACGTAGAGCTCCTCTGGCTTCCGGGGGTTCGCTCTGTCTGCAAGGGGCAGAAGGAACATTCTCTCCCGTCTACTCACACGGAAATGAACTGAAAGGCTAGCTGTCGCGGGAGTTTGTGGAACCGCCTCTAGCCTGTCTGGCCCCAAGGTGATGAAGCTGGTCAGCAAGGACAGTCTCCGTGGGATAAACTAAGGGACTGTCCACACGGTGTCCTACTCGAGGGCCTACGAATGTTTTATCGACACACGTGCAAGGAGGCGCAATATGACAACACGAGTCGATTGCCAATGTACCACGCAAATGCTACAGCGCAGAGGAACTGTGCCCATTTTTCCAAATGACTCAGCAGGATTAAGACGTCAGCACTGAACTTTCAGGAGAGGCGAATCTGTGTGAAGGACCTTGCAGTGAAAGCGATCTGCTATGAGAACCACGAAGATAAAGTTACTCGTTCGAAACGGAGACTGGCGAGCATCTTCCTCTCACGCTGCATTCGCCAAACCTCCCTAGTCAGCGTTTACAATCGCGCTGGCCACTAAGGTTCTAGGTTTTGTTGATCGTGACCCTGAGACACTGCAAAGTCATAATCCTGTGAAAATCAGTGGTCCTTGAAGCAGGAGGGAGAACACAGGAAACCATCATCGATAAAGACACACGTCTCTCATCCTCTACTAACTAGGACCTTCAGACTATTCCGACCGTGACAACACCAAGAGGATCCTCGTCATTATCAGCACCCGCTGAGCAGCCAGGCGTCCTTCATGGGTTTCAGAAAGAGCCCCTCCTTGTCCAGGGAGGTGGGGACCGCGTCCGCCGGGCACTGCTGGCTAACTCACCACCACCACATCATTAAGTGCACGGCCACCAAAATTCAGCTATTCCTTTAAGAGGCTATTCCCACGGACTCTGGGCGAAGAGGAAACAAGACGTTGAGAAGTCTGACCTTGTCTCTTTACGCCCTGATGGTGCGAACAGATCAGGCTGGCATCCTCGTACTTCGGGTCGTGAATCAGGTAGTCAAAAGGCAGCTTCCTGAAGAGCTCCAGGTCGGGCCAGGGGTCGCCGTGGTGCAGGTACTGCCAATCCGATTCTTCTTCGAGGTCTACAAGATCGGGAGAAACACGGCTACGTGACAGGATGGGAAGCGAGAAGGGTTTATTTTAAATGTGCACAAGGACGATGCTTGCAGTGGAATCATTCATGACTGAGTCTGCAGGTCACTGGGGGAGGCCGTTGGGTCGTGAGGGCTCCTGGCACATATCCTATTTTCGGGATCGTTCTAAAGAGGCATTCATATCAATCTCTATCCAGAGGTGCAGCCTCACACTGTTTCCTATGGGATGGGTTTGTTCTGACCCTCACGCCAACCTCAGCTCCTCCCAGCATACCCGCCCCTGTGCTCTGTGCTTCTCCCCAGCACGGTCCCCCAAACACACCACATCGGTCCCCACCACCCTTGGAACCTACTGGAGTTTTCTCCTTCTCTCTCTTAGATGTAAATGCTCCCAGCCAGGACGGCCCGGCTCCTACCCCAGCATCTCTGGAAAGCCTCTCGTAAGTGCTCAAGCCCATCGCTCCCTCCCTTCCAAAGGCCAACACCACTCGTTTTTTTTTTTGCCACGAATCATCTTACGTTACGAGTGGTGTGGCCTACGGTGCTCGCTAAATGCTTTTTGGTCGAAAGGTAAAAAAAAAAAAAAAAAAAATGTAGCTGGTGCAACTCCAATTACATATCAATTACGCACATGATACTGATACACGTGCGTCTCTCTTTACCTATGTCTCTCCTTCTATATCGTGCGGCTGGATGGCGTACACGTCCGTGAGAAGGAGAAAGAAGGACAGGAGAGAAAGCGGAATGTGCGTTGTGGATCTGACAGGCGCTCGGTGCCTCGTGTGTGCAGCACCACAGACTCTTCACGGCGCCCGGCGAAACGCCAACCACCCAGGTTTGACCCAGAGAAAGCCCAGCCGACAAGAGAACATCTACGAAAACGGGCTTCGAAGTTCAACAAACTGGGTTCAAGTCCTGTCTTTATCATTGGTATATCCAAGAAAGTGAAGAGACAGAAACTCAGCAGGCCTGCTTTCCTCCGAAATACCATCGATTTTCACCCAAAATACAGTTCCCCCAAAGTGTGGGGGAAACCACAGGAAACTCAGAGCTGGAAGAGCCTCTTTCCTTCGAAGGAAAGAGCAAGGGCTACACGGGCTTTCTTGGTTCCAAATTTTCTCCAAAACTCAAGCGCAGTCAGAGCATCTAAAGAAATGCTGTGTACGAATACTACAGGATTTTCCTCCTTTATAAGGTAGAACTGTATTCGATCGCATGTATAGACTACATTTTCTTTATCCATTCATCTGCTGATGGACATTTATACCTCTATGGACAATGTCTGGTTGTCTGCATGTCTTGGCTATTGTGAATAATGCCGCAGGGAACACGGTAACTACGTGAGGGCGTGGCTAAGTTAATTAGCTTGATTGCGGTGATTACTTCACAGCGTACACTCTACCAAATCGTCAAGTTGCACACCTTAAATATATACGACAAAAAAGAAAAAGAAGTGCTGTTCAGATGTCAATGCGCCTCCCTGTTCCCTTTCCTTACGACGTAGAAAGGACTCCTCGCACAAAATTCCACTCCCGAAGCAACATGTGTGTTTACCAGACCAAGTTCATGAGCCCCTGGGAGGCGCCTATGAAGAGGAAACGGAGCAGCGTTGCACGGGTAGCGTCGGACAGCTGTTCTAAGGGTTTTACCAGAATCAGGCGAACTCTGGCCTGTGAACGGGGAGGAAAGGCCGCTCCCCGTGCATCACGTATTTCCATGTTGCCCCACGACATTGACCTCTGTGCTCAGACGCCTGAGCGAAGAACCTGACCTGGTGGGTCCCTCCACTTTCTCGAGGCGGCAATCAAATCCAGGTTAGTTCTGGCGCGGCCACCTCCCAGCTGGGCTCCTGGGCACTTTATTCATCAGGAATATGGAATACCGACACCGATCCCAGGGGGTCGTGGAGGAAACTAAGTGTGCTGAGTTACGCGGAATATCCAGAGCAGTGCTTGACACTTGGGAGGCGCTCGGTCGATGGTTATGTTTACTACAGTAATTTTATCCCCACGAAGGCCTCTTGGGCAGTATTCTGAGACTGACCAAAGTGCCCACCAGAGAAAAATCAGAACACCCCACGGGGCCCTTGGGGTGAGTCTGATCGTTAACCTGAGAATTCCATCCAGAAAGCAAAAGACAAGGTCACTCGAGAAACTGATGAAAGATGATTCAGTGGCACCAATGGATACTCACCGATATTGATCTCTTCTTCATCGTAAACATCCACTTCTGTTAGCCGAATGAGCATTCTAGACAGAATGCTGAGGAACTGCAGGTAGGCACCTGTCTTCCCAATCTGTTAAGACATTAAAACCAGAGCCAACGGTCAGTAAGCCCTGTCCACACACTGGCACCAGCTGGAGCACCTGACGTGCCTCATGCCACCTGCCTCTTTTAAAGATGTCACCTAATTACAATGAGAGCCCAGTGATGCAAAGACACTTCAGGGGAAATGTGGCCAGAGAACAGGCAGGCGGGCAGATGGACTCCAGGAGACCCGGCTGCTCATAAATCAAGGCAAATGCGTCTCTGGTTTTAACCAGCCACGTTTTTGAAGCTGTTAGAAATCAGACTTTATCACAAGCTAAAGAAAGGTTGCTTCAATATAAAACACAATTTCTTAAGAGTCTTGTATAACTGCAACACGCTGTTCTTATACAAATCAGTATGTCTTGGGTAAGATAACAAAAGTCATTGCATAAGACATAAAAGGTTAGCATCTCATTTCTCTCCTCTTAAGTCCAGGAAAAGAAATAAAATGATTTTCCTTCTCTTTCTTATCATATCATAGGGTCCCCTGCTCCTTCAGCCCAGCATCAGGCAAGTAAACTATTGGTCGTAGGTTTATTTTGGTCACAATTGGTTAAATGGGCACCTGTCAGACACCCTAAAACCTTCCCCTCCCACCTATTTACTCTAGGGATGTGCTTTTCAAGTTCTTAGCTTGATGCCTGGTTCACAGTAAGTACTCAACAAATGTTGATGAGTGGAAATAAATGACTTTTAAAGAAAATATAAAACACAAATGGTGGACGTTTTAGAGAAAATATCTGTAATACGTGTAGACAAAGGATTAAAACCTATAATCTCTAAAGAGCTCTTACAAATAACAGGAAAACGTCAAATGGCCTAAAAGGGAAACCAGAAAATCACTGTACAAGAACCACCAACGACCAATAAATAAATAAAAATAGATTCAACCTAATAAAACCATTAAATACTACTTTCCCCCAAGCAAATAGGCAAAAAATTTAAAGCTTGATAACATCCAGTCATGCGAGGGCATGGAGAAACTGAGACCCCCTTTCTTAAAACATTTCGGGGGTTTTTTCCTATTTTTAAAAATAATTATAAAAAGTAATACATGCTCATTTAACAATTCAAGAAATAGAGATCAATAATGAGGTAGAATATTCACAAATCGCACTCCACTCCCCAGGTAACGATTTAGTGGCTGTTCTGTCCGAGATTTTTTTGAAGATGTTTTCACATGCACAGACACATATGAGCACCATATTTTTTTTCCTATGTATATATTATTCTGCAACTTTTTAGAAAATTTAAAGATCTTAGAGATATTTCAGTGTCAATATATAAAGATCGTTCTCAAGTTTTCTATGGCTCAATTGCATGATACAGTTGTGCCCAAATTTATTCAACCAACTTTGACCAATGAAGTTTAAGTTGCTTCCAGTTTGTTGTTTACTATTGTAAACAATACTAAAATGGGTGTTATTGTACTTATTTTTCTAGGTTTATATTTCTTGGGATAGATTCCTGAAAATGAACATTCTCAGTCAAAAGGTGGCACATCTTGAATTGTGACAGCGATGGTACCGATGTCGAGGACAATGGTTGACAATTATTGCACGCTTTCTACGGTCAGGCCATATTCTGGGTGCCCGATAAGTGATTATCCCCTCGTTCAATGCTCTCATTTCTGTGATACAGGTACTATTGCTCTCCTCATTCTCAGGTGAGGACACTGAGGCACACAGAAGGCTGGAACCCGCCCAGGGAGTCAGATGATGTCTGAGTCAGGAGTCGACCCCAGGCAGCTCACTCCAGGGCCCAACTGCCTGACAAAGCCCCTAAGATCATACCAACCTACGGTCCTCCTCACATACTCACGACACTTGACACTCACACCTTGAAGATTTTTGCCATTTGACAGGTGAAATGGTCTTTTGTTGCCATGGAAACACACTGGGCTCGGGTAAGGCTGCGATGCCGACAGTCCTCCTGCCTCCCTGTTACATTTCACCAGTGTGGGAGCCAGCAAACTACAGACTGGCCGTGAGGACCACGTGAAACCACATGAGAAATGCAGAATGGCAGTCTGAAGGAGCAGGACGCACCCACAGAGCGCCCCCCACCCCCCGCATCACACGAAAGAAGAAACCGAGGTAAGAGGACAGAAGTCACCCAGCCAGGGGTGGCAGGCGGGTCCCAGCTTCCATCCGCCTGCCACTGTGGGGCCATCAGAGAAAATTCTGCCATAGGAATGGCAGACGTGACTAAGGGGGTGCTATCAGCCCACCACCTGCCCTCCGGTCTGAGCACAAGGACCCCCCCAGAGTCCGGGCCACGGCAGGGCTCACCCACCTGAGGCGGGCCACTGAGCAGCAGCCTGCGTGGGTGGAAGCTGTCCCCTCGGCCCTCGGCGCGGTCGCCATAATCCATGTGGCTGGGCCGGGGCACTGTCCACTGCCGGTAGTACAGGGACTGCTCTGTGGAGGTCATCGTTTTGCTGAGCAGGGGGCGGAAGGAGCTGGCCCACATGACCGAGTGGGAGGGCAGGAGCGAGGCGGCCTTGGGCAAGCCGCTGCTGTCAGTGGACGTGACCATGTCATATACCAGCTTGGGCAGGAAGACGATGGGTGGCTGCTGGCAGGCCCTGGTCATGGAGCAATGGGAGGCCTGCAGGATGACGGTGCTGGCAGAGGGCACCGTGGACGAGGAAGATGAGCCCGAGGAGGACAGCTGGGAGGACGACGAGGTGACCGGCACCTGGACGCTCCTCTGGCTGGTCTTGAGGCCATAGTCAGGCTGTGGGGCCAGCCCGGGGCTGTGCCTGCTGATGACCGGTGGCCTCTGGCTGGCTCGGAGCCTCTGTTTGTCACCAGGGACTCTGCTCTCATCTGAAGGACTGCAGGGCTGCGGGGATCTGGCCTGCTCCCTCTGCGAGGGCCCCCCAGGCTGAGCCGAGGACTCACCGCAGAGTGCCGAGCCTGGGGAGACAAGAGCCTGTCAGTCATGCCCCAGAAATGGCACGCCCTAAAATCTGGTGGCCGCCTGCTTCTGCACTACAAACTACCCGTACTTGACAATTACTGGGAATTTTTGTTAATGCTATCACACCTCTGATGAGCTACGAACTCTTTTGTCCTATGACAAACCCAAGATCTGCTGCTGAAAGACAGCTGGTGACACCTGTATGGTATGAATTTGCCTCCCACCCCACCCCCATGCCTAACATACCACCCCAAAGGCCTCTCCTTTGCAACCTGTGCCCTAATCTGCTCCAGAAGCCCTCATCTTCAGCATTCGACCTACGTTCGTGCTTCTGTGCAGGCTGTCCCTTTCTGTCACCTCATGGAGCTCAGGTCTCACCTCTGTACCAGCACAGTGGCGGCTCCTAGTTCAAATTGGCAGCAAAACTCACGGGACTTGACGGGCTTTACTCTAACGCCAGAATTGAAGATGGGAAATGCAGCGCGCACAGCTGCTGCTCAAATGCGGAGTTTCTTCTGCCTCCCCCCATGGGACCATGTCGAGAGCCAAGGTGAATGTGGGTCACCTGGACACACAGCAGCAGCACCCTGGTCCCATCTTTTACAAGGGGATATACACCTGAGGCTGCACAGAAGGCAGGGCAGATGGGACACTGCATCTCCACCTCAGCTCCGTTCTTCCCCAGGACATGAGAGAGGCCATTTCCCAGGCAGGCTTGACACCTCTCTGTCACCCTCCTTGGAGGGGCTTCCTGCCACCCTGCAGCACCTGGATCGGCCTGTATCCCACTCACCACACCACTCAGGCTGCCCCTCTCTGGACCCGAGCTCCCCAGAAGGCTGTCCTGCCCCACTCTGCAGCCAGCATCACGGCTGCTGTCAAGAAGACCACAGTTCTAACTCCCCTGTGCTCACCTGTGACAAACACCCCGCCCACCTGGCTCCCCATTACCCCTGGGCTGCAGAGGAGGGAGGAGAGAGGAAACCAAAGATGCCCCCAGGCCAAAGCTGCTGCTGCTCTGACCTCTGCACTGACACCCCCCCCCCGCCACTACTCAACCTTGCAGCCTGCCTTGACCACAGCCAGGCCCCTTCTGCACCCTGAGCACCCCTCAGGGCCACTCACAGAGCCCAAGTCTCAGCTGCACCTTCACACCCTGAGGTTTCACTTGCCCAGGAATGACTTCTCCACCTCCATCTGGACCACCTCCTCCTCCACCTGGACCACCTCCTCCTCCACCTGGACCACCTCCTCCCATCTCTGGACCACCTCCTCCTCCACCTGGACCACCTCCTCCTCCATCTGGACCACCTCCTCCTCCACCTGGACCACCTCCTCCTCCATCTGGACCACCTCCTCCTCCACCTGGACCACCTCCTCCTCCATCTGGACCACCTCCTCCTCCACCTGGACCACCTCCTCCTCCATCTGGACCACCTCCTCCTCCACCTGGACCACCTCCTCCTCCATCTGGACCACCTCCTCCTCCACCTGGACCACCTCCTCCTCCATCTGGACCACCTCCTCCTCCACCTGGACCACCTCCTCCTCCATCTGGACCACCTCCTCCTCCACCTGGACCACCTCCTCCTCCATCTGGACCACCTCCTCCTCCACCTGGACCACCTCCTCCTCCATCTGGACCACCTCCTCCTCCACCTGGACCACCTCCTCCTCCATCTGGACCACCTCCTCCTCCACCTGGACCACCTCCTCCTCCATCTGGACCACCTCCTCCTCCACCTGGACCACCTCCTCCTCCATCTGGACCACCTCCTCCTCCACCTGGACCACCTCCTCCTCCATCTGGACCACCTCCTCCTCCACCTGGACCACCTCCTCCTCCATCTGGACCACCTCCTCCTCCACCTGGACCACCTCCTCCTCCATCTGGACCACCTCCTCCTCCACCTGGACCACCTCCTCCTGCACCGAATACCCTCTCCTCCAAGTCCCAGTTAAAGGTCAGCTGCTCTCTGAAACCTGCAGTGACTGCCCCTACCCCTGAATCCTCCCACCCGAGACAAAATTAATTTCTTCTTTATACACGTAACCGTAACACTCCCCATGCGAACATGCATGCAGAAAAAACACAGCAGCCCTATTGCAACATAACATGGTTTGCGAGGAACCATGAATTCCCCAGGAGCTGGCCCACATCTACTCTGCCTTCAATGCCCAGATTCAGACATAAAGTAGGTTCTCCATAAATGTTTATGATATCATTTCATGTGTGTGGGTCCCAGCTGCTCTCAGAAACCAAGGTGTCCTTGAGGGCAGAGACTCTGGGTGTTTTATACACATTCCCTGCCCCCTCCGCCAAAGTGCGCCCAGGTCCCAGGTCCGTGACCTTCTGCTGTCAATGCTGCTTCTGCCCACTGCAGTCTCCCCGCCCTCGGACTCCACGAGAACACCTCACCTGCCGATTCTCCAAACGTGGGGAGCCCTGCGGGGGATGGCCCTTGGCCACCATGCTGGGACAGAGTCCATGATCTTCCCTGGGAGAGGAGCCCCTGAACCCCACCGTGCAGCCCAAACTCCTCACGCTCCCAGACCTCAGGCCAGAAAAGCGCTCACTCTCTACAAGCCCAGACCTTCAGACTCCCTTTTCTTTCTAGTGCTCGGTGATAATAAAGGCCCTCTTTTCATCCTCTGAAACGTCAAGAAAGCACGCCGCTGTGGGCTCCTTCCCACCTGCAGACTTACTGGACGCCTTCGAGGACGGAGGTGAGCACGCGGAGTCGTGGGAGCGGGATCTCTTCTCCGACGTGGAGCCTGTTCCAAAACACACACACTGAAAACACCTCGTAATTGTCACCCCGTACATTCACCCGGCACTTTACAGTTTACAAAGTGCATTCGCAGTGATCATCGCTCTCCATCTATCCATCCATCCATTTGCCATCTTCCAGGCGCCCACCTTTGACAGACCATTAAGGGGACAGAAGGAATAAATTACAGGGCAGGCTGGCCCGGCACCCATGGCTCGGTGGGGACAGTGGGGGCTCCCGCCTGTGAGCCAAAGCTATGAGCTGTGTAAGGAGAGCAGGGAGGGGCCTGGGTGCCCAGAGGCCAGGCTCCCACCCAGCACAAGGAGGCAAGAGCAGGAACATCCTGGGAGCGGTGACCCCAACCTGTGCCCTGGAGACCCAGCAGGAGTTTCCAGGTGAAGCACAGAGAAGACGGAACTCGAAGCAGTAGGGAGAGCATCTGAATGACGCCGAGGTGACGACAGCAGAGCACAGCCTAGGGACCGCTGCGGCTGGGTGCGGCCGAGGGCACGGGTGCAGTGTCGGGGGCTGGCGAGGTGAGCGGAGCGAACGGTGAAACTAACAGGTGGGTCGTGGCATGCCAGGAGCGTGGAGTCACCCCACGGGCAGCGGGGAGCTTGGGGCATTTTAATGTCAGGGTCACGTTCATGCCTGCGAGACTGCCACAGCACCAGGGAACCTGTCAGGCCAGCCTTCCAATCCCCATTTTACAGCTGAGCACTCCAAGGCTAGGACAGGTGACATGACCTCGTCACACAGGCAGCAGACGGAGGAGGAAGAGGCGTGCGGGTCTTCTGACGCAGCCGGCCTCCGTCTCTCCCCTACGTCACGCCCCACAAACGCCTTGCATTTTTATATGAACAGCTTTTTATTTTTTCTCACTATGCTGTAGACCACAGCCAAACACCCCACACTGCTCAGATCTACGTGTCCTGTTAAAAATATGATGTTGGATTGTCAAGTCCCCAAATGAAACTGGCCTGTTTCCATAAATCTTAATAATGGACACATACCAAGTGGATTCACGTAGAGGAAATAACAAGTGACTCTTACACTGGGCAGTCATTCCATTAACAATTCAAACAAAGCATGAACTTGAACCCTAAAAAAAAATCTCAATTTTTCTTCTTAGTCACTATGAATTCTAGAGCTAGGAAGAACCTACTAGGAATTCAATTCCTATACCATCGAAAAAGAAAAAAAAAAAGTAAAATCTGAATTCAAAATTCAATAAGAGATTTGCCATTTCCTCCAAAGACACATCTTGATAGCTGTCACCCGGAGCTGCTGGCCAGCAGATGAGCCCCAGGGCCATGCAGAATAGGGCACAGCTGTCTAGACAAGCTCAAGCCGCCCCCGAGGTTAGGAGCTGAGGCCGAACCTTCTGTCGCCAGCTCCTCATCTTCATTGTCTGTGCTGCTCAGCTTCTCTGCGTCGCTCTCCAAGGCCTCGTTGGGGACCCCCTTCTCCAGGGGAGCCTCCGTGCTCACAAAGTAAGCAGCCAGGCCCAGCTCCTGCTCCAATGCCGTTCTCACCAAGCAGGAAGAGTTGATCAGCCGCAGGTCACAGTACCTCAGAGACCTGGGAGGAAACAGAAGAAGGTGTCTCTCACGAGACTCCTACACCTGAGCACAGTGCTCGGCGCTGGGAGAAACGGCCTGCCTGCCCGTCAGGGCCCCAGGACTTGTGCAAAGGGAAAAGCAAACGGCACCACAGTGAGCCCCTCCCCACAGAGTCGGTTTAACTGTAAGTCTCTCGGGGCGCCTGCTATGTATTTAGCCTGTGCTGTGCGTCATCGAAAGAGTGCTGACTCGAGAAAAAAATGGGGCTCTAAGCCCAGCTCTGCCGCTTCCCGGTGACAGAACCCTCCGCAAGGGTGCAGCTTCTCGGACACTTAGAATATTTTCCTCTGAAAGATGGGAAAGAATATTAATAACCATCTAAGTGTACTGTTGTGAGAATTATATGTAATAAATGGACATTTAATTATTCGACCAACGTTTAAAACTTGTCGAGGACTGTGCGAGATGCTAGGGACATGATGGCGATCAAGTCATCATCGCACTGGAAACGAGAGTCTGGGAAGACAAACACCAATGAGTAACGAAATATTCAGAGAGCACAGGACAGGCTCAGGGTGTGGTGGGAACAGCGACAGGCTTGGAGAGAGGCAGATGTAGGCTCCAACTGGCTCTGGAATTTACTGCCATGTGACGTCAGGCAAACGGCCTTTCATTTGCTCATCTATAAAACCGAGCAGCAATACTGTTGTTGCAAGGAGTCAATGCTACATTAAAAGTCTAGCACAGCGCCTAATACAAAAAAAATATTCAGGGAATGCTTGCTCAAATTCAAGACAGATTAAGACCCATGTCTTAGTCCTTCAGGAATCGAGGAACGGAAGAATTAATCCATGAGAAATAGCAACAACCAAGGTCAAACATTTGGATTGCCCTTTTCCGGGCCTGTGCAGTGGCCCTCGCGTTAAGTGGGGGGGGCCCAGTGGAAGGCAGGCAGCCCTGGGGGCCACTGCCAGCCACACCGGCTTAACCTGTGTGTGCCGCGGTTTCTTCACCGCCCGTAGGGGGCACCGGAATGATACCTCTCCCTGGGGTTATGACGAGTAAAATGAAAGAAAGCACAAGGCAAGAATCCAGCGGACTGGCCAGCACACGGCAGGGACTCAGGATGCGTCAACTCTTACTGTCCCGCTACGCAAGCAGAGACGTGCAAAGGCCCTGGGCACGGCTGCCTGCTCTTCTCCGTGAGTGTGAAGTACATCTTTACAAGCCAACCAGTCACTCACGGCCAGCTCCATCAGTTGCCTTACTGGAGGCCCAGTGACCTCTGTCCTGAGTGTCTGCAGATCTGTGTGGAGCCCCTGGGAGACACTGAGTGGGCTTGGGGCTGTCATCTGCTTGGCTGTGATGGCTCCGGGGAACACAGCCTCTGAAGCAGTCAGCCCTCTGTGCAGGAAGAACGGGCTTGTCCTGAGTGGCATGAGCCACCTGCCCCCTTCCAGGAACACCTCCTAAACCCGGAGGGACCAGCTATCACAGCAGCCTAGACACCAGCGTAAATGTGGCCCCAACACCCCAAGATGATAAGACACTTTCCTAAATGGAGCGTTCATCCCTAACTCACACAGCGACCACCACCCCCCCACCCCCCGCCACAGCCATGGGGAGAAACTGAGGTAGGCATCAAATCTATCTCCAGCTGCAGCCCCCCTGCCCCGCGGAGCCTGGGGACAGCCTCCACCACACTGCATGAGCCCACAAGGTGCCCGTTGGACAATCAGGACGCGTGGCCCAGGCCTCACACACATTTCACTGCCACAGCCTGGAAAGCAGTCATCATGAGCAGACAAACCTACAATGACTAAGATTCTGAATGTGCCCTCTAGAACCTGGCCTGGCGAGCCGCCAGCTGTGGGCATGGGCTCCACCGCCCCCTCCACTCGCCTTGGCAGGGACTCCCCGTGCGGGTCCATCCCACTGAAGATGAGGATGCAAGGCAGGCCCTCCAACTCCAAGTACGTCTGAGGTCTCCACTCCGCTTCCTCGATTTTCTGCCACATCTGCAGATCATTAAGGAGAAACAAAGCCTAAGGCTCCTGACTTCCCAGCTGGTCAGGCCCCAGGGGACCTTCACGGCCTCCGACTGATTTAAAGCCCCTGCACTGCATCCTTCCATGAGAAAGAAAGTGCTTTGTACTGCAAATAAGTAGGTCACCTGCTCCCCACTGTACCCCAGCCACTCAGTGCGCTTCCTGCTGTGGATGAGCTGTCCAAGATACACCTGCCAACCGACTAACTGGCTCTTTGGGAGACAGCACATATCCTAAATTGTATCTAATGTTTTCTACTGTGTTTCCAATCTTGGGGCTGTGCCTTTCATGCATGTTCCTACTCAATTATTGTTTCAATATTCTTTCTCATCCTTTTGCCTTTTCCATCGCCCGTAGGTTTAGCGAGAAGCTGCTATGGGCCAGGGCACTGTGCTAGGTTTGGGGGGCTGAGATCTTTGGGGGTGGTTCCTGCCTTCCATCGCCTTGGGGAAGAGCCAGATGACAGATGACCCCAGTGGTGTAGGGGAGAACCCCAAGTTGGGAGGGGGGCGGCTTCCGGAAAGAGGCAAAGACACTGAGCTGAGTCCCGCGGCCGACAGGCATGAGCTAGGTGACAGACGAGAAGAAATGCGCCCCCTGAAGAAAGACAAGCATGCTACAGCCCAGGAGTTTGAAACTGTGAGACAGTGTGTTTGTGGGAGCCGCCTCTGGACTGAAAGATCTGGGTGGGGATATGGCGCCGATCGCGCCTCCTATCCCTGGGCTGAGCGCCCACCTTGAGCTGCTTCACGAAGTGCTTCCCCACAGTGATGCTGGAGCTGGGGTCGCCTAGGATGATCTCGAAGTGCCGGTCCAGCGCCAGGCGCGCCCGCACGTGGGCCAGCCGCTCGTAGGCCACGGCCGCCAGTGGCGAGCAGGGCACCCGCAGCAGCACCATGAGCCCGTGGCCGCAGGGGCACTGCTTCGGGGAGTTGATGAGGTTCTGGGTGATCTCCAGCGTCTCCACCGACGTGTAGCTCTTCATCTGCGACAGGCCGCTCACGGCCATCATGGCGGCCGCGTAGTGCTGCACGAGAACAAAGGTCCTGATGACCGCGCTGTGCAGGCGGGGGAACCTGCAACGAACAGAGAGCGCGGCCGTGAGCCCGGCCCCGCCGGCCTCCAGGCCGTCCAGGCGCCCGAGCAGCCCCAGACGCCCGCCGTTCTGGGCACGGACAATTCCCAGACGACGGACAAGCCGTGCTCCCTTTCGGAGCCGGCTGTTTGGAACCTGGAAGAGAAGCCTTCCTCACAAGGCCAATCGTAAGCTGCTTCGTCCCCTCCAGCAAGGAAACAAAAGGAGAGGCTCGTCGTCGCTCTGCCTGCTCAGTACACATGTGTTCAACGAACGAACAGATGCATGAATAGAATAAATGCCTACTCAGTCTATCACCGGCTTGATTGATAGTTTCCCGAGGTGGGTGATGGGCCTCAGGTCCCCACTATTAACAGGAGAACCACCAGCGTACCATGTACCCCAGACGTGGGAGACTGCCTTAAAAGCACAGCAGTGCATTCACTTCAAGTGCAGGTGAGTCACTAGAAATGTTACTAAATATGATTTAACTTGACTGTGAGTTACGCATCAGAACGCACCAGTCAAACTGGCAACTCCAGTGATTTGCTTTAGAAGCCATGGCTGCCATCTGCGTCTCCCCACAAAGGCAGCGACCCCTCCCACGACCACATGACCAAATGCACGGCTGGGACAGCCCTGACCCATGTGTCAGACTGACACAGAGCACCTGGGGTACTGTGTGTCTCAGTAGCAACAGACAAGCGGACATCCGGTTCATGTGCGATGCTCTCGTGAGTCTATGTGGCTGGAACAAGTCCCCTGCTCAGTGCCTTTTAGAGCAAAAGATAAAGACGTGTCTTGACCTACAAAGTCAGGAATTGCACCGCGGCCGTGCCACCCCGCGAGTCCCCCGGGCAGCACGCCGAGGTCTCCTCCTGCCCAGGACCGTGCCCCTTTCCTTCGCTCTTTCTCCTTAGCACGGCAGCGTTTTTGTGGGTTCTATAACCTGGACAGTTAGCTTAGCAAGCTGCCTAATGAGCAGTGCGGTCTCCGGAGGCATAACTGGTCTGCAGACTCAGAGGCCCAAAGACTGCTTTGCCTTGTCCCTGGTGCACTGGCCAAGTGGGGCCCAGGAAGAAAGAAAGAGGGTGGCATGGAGAATACATTGTCTCCCTGCTCTGTGTTACTGCCCCAGCTATGGTGGCCCCTTGTCACCTTCTATGAGGCATGAGGGGCAGGATGTCGCTCAGGCAGAAGCACACTCTCCTCTCCACCTTAGACGTGGTGGGAAGCGCCTACGCCTGACTCTGCTCAAAGGACAGCGGAGTACTGGCCCCACGTTTCAGTCATTCAGGGCTCGACACATACTCGCTGCCAGAGGGGAGGCTGGGGGCAGACAGAGGGCATCGCAGAGCAAAGGCCACCTCTTGTAGCCCCAGAGTCGACTCTTAGAGGACCTCTTCCCTCGCAAGTTCATGAGCGCTCAGCTGCCAATCGCGAGTTGGAGAAGTAGCTTGATGCATCGCCATCAGAATCAAAGAGCCAAAAGGTATCTACCAAATCGAAGGGATTTCATTTCTCAGAGGGTGTTCCAGGGAACGGTAATCCCGTGAGATACTGAAGGTGCAGGACACGCTGGCCGTCTCGAGAGTTACGGCCTGCGTGGTGCATGGAAGGCTCTGAGGACGCTCTTGGAAGAGAAATCTTTCTGTTAAAGTGTCTCAAACACATCTGACCATGGAACCCCTTTTGGCAAACAGCTGTTAGTATCCGGCATCCTTTGGAGCACAGTTTGAGAAGCCGTGTCTCATTTAACCCCGTCGTCAGCAAGCGGGAAAGACGAGGTGCTGTGAGAAGCCGCGGCACAGCCCACTCGTTTGGTTTCGCATTCGACAGTCTGTGAAATTCGCCTGGCTTTACGACACAAACTGCGTGATGTCGGCAACCACTTAAGGGCCTCGGTTTCCTCGTCTGTACCTACCTCCCAGCTCTGCCTGTGACAGGGTTACAGGGTCACAGGAAAAGCAGTTGAGTTGGACTGACTCTGCATTCGCACCCAGGTGTCATCCGCGAGGCGTGTGGCCTGGAGTCATGGGTCTCTCTGACCCTTACTTCATTTGCAAAATGGGGATAATAATAAGTAGGAAGTGGCTCAGAGAGGTGGAGAGGACTAAATAATAAATAAGATCATGAAAGTAGGCTCTTGGAACTGTGAACGGCACAAAATAAGCACTCGACGGATGATGCGCAGAGGAAATACAACATTCAGCCAAACCAGATCCTCTCTCTCTCTCTCTCTTTACACTTTTCGGTATCTTACCTTCCATTTTGCCGCCTTTCCGTCTTAAACTCTCAATCCCACATCCCAGTATATTTCTACCCATCTCTAAAATTTTCTGGAGCGACAGCACGACAGAGATATCGGTGTCCCAAAACGCAGGACGAGAAATAAACCAGGGCCCCTTTAATGGAGAGACTGAGTCATCCAAAAGGGAAGGAGGTGGATCCCTTCCTAGCATCCTCTGGCTGCACACACCGCAACTTGCACTTGACGACCAAGCATTTTTAGTAACTTCAAAGACAGACGGGTACCTTTTTCCCAACGCGGTGACCATGGCCTCAAAGGAGCTGTCATATCTTAGCAACGGGAGGCTGTGTCCTGAAAGGGTGGACTCGATGAACTCCGACAACCCAAAGTACTTCTTGTTCTCAGGATATAAGTCCACTCCCTAAAAGAGAGGAGCCTAGGTCACTCAAGCATCAAATTTTCGGGGACCGAGAGCGTCACGTTCTAGGAGCAGCGATGATCTGGGCGGGCATCGTGAGCGACATCGTGCCGACTCTGCGGTCCCTTGGATGGCATTTTGTTCATCTCTATCCTTTGAAGACCCAGAGCGCAGAGCACTCGTAGTTAAAGGACGGCGCATCCCCATCAGTCAAGGCTTTGCCATTCATTGACCCTAGCATGGTCACCAAGAAGAAAGCCAGCCTTATCATTTTTTTAACATGCAACTTTCTTTGTTAAAACTGCTTCTTTCCAACAATTTTAACCTGGTTTTAGGAACAGGCAAATCAACTATCTTGCATTCAGCTGCTGTTAAAGTTAAGAGAAAAAAAATACATTTATCTAACCAATATTACTTACATCAACATAAAATTCCTCCCAGTCTAACATCTGAGCTTCTCAAACTTCAGAGCATAGTAAAGTTGGGGGTGCTGTTAACATTACAAAGACCTAGGCTTCCTCCTCAGACGGCGCGTGGTTAAGTACGTGGGCCACGGAGCCAGTGGACTGGGTCACGTCCTGGCTCTTCCCCTCCCCAGCCGCATGGCTTAGGCAGTGGCTCAACCCCGTCGGCTTCACTTTCCCCACGTGTAAATCAGAAGTCATCCTCACACCTGCCTCTTATATGCATTCATGTGATGAACACTTAGGACAGCGCCAACCCAGCCCATGGTGAGCCCTACGCAAGCAAGTGTCCTGGCTGCCACTGACTCTGAACCTGGACCGGAGGGAGCCGAGCATCTTCGAAAGTTCCTCAGCTGACTCTGAGACAAAGAGGTCCAGGAATGGATGTTCATTTATTGCTTGTGTCACTAACTAGACACCAGCCACCCAGAATTCTCAAATCACCAGAATCGTCATGACCTATTTTGATGAGAAATGAGAGGTGACAAACTGACAACTCGCCCGGTTTTGTGGATGCGTATCGAGGTTGAGGAAGGGCGTTTCGAACCTTGCTACTTAAGGACGTGGGGATAGGGAAAACAGGAACATTTCCATGGCTTCTACACAAAACCTTTTCTGTTGAGATGGGGGCGCCAACTGAGGTACTTCGGGAAAGTTTCTCAAGGCCAGGAAGGGTCTTCAACTCTAACTCTGGTCTTTAACTCTAACCCAGATCCAAAGAGCTGGGACCCACTTGACCCCCAACTACGCGACGCAGGGGTCATCTCGGCACCGGGCAGCAGCCGGGGGCACTCACGCTGCTGTAGGAGGCAGGCCAATGGATCTCGTTGTAAGGGCTGATGAGGGTGTGCTGTGTCTGCAGTGCATAGGGGAAGGAAGTCACGTGCAGGGTCACGATGTTGGGGGCCTCCTTCACCTCCCGGCAGTTGAGCAGTCTGTCCACCAGTCCCACAGACAGGTCGCTTTGGGAGCAGAGATTATGAACAGCACCACTGAGGGGAGGAAAGGGGGAGAAGTGGCACTCAATAGAATGTCTAATACTGATCGGGAATTCACAGGGATCAAGCAGTTGAATAAATTTATAACTAGCCCCCCCAACACTGCCAACAATCGAAGCTTATGGCTCTGCCCATGGCAAGGAAAATAAAATTTTTAAAAATGGCTGCACTGCAGTACCTGTCAGGGACTCCCCTGATACTCACTGCTGTGAAAGCTGGGCCAGGGCCCGGCGTTTATGGACGATCCCCTGCGAGGCGCACAGTCCCCCTGCCCCTCAGAAGTGACCCACCCCCAGGAGTGCTCAGGGCATTGCCTTTCCGCCTGTGGCCCAGTCTCATTGCTATCCGTCTCCTTAATCCTTCTCCCTAAAGCCCTACTGATTTTACGATGACCCAAAGAAGATATAAAAGGGTAAATTCTACACTGGGTTTAAATGTACAGGAACAGAATGGGGAGCATTAGGGACAAGGGGCCAAGGAGACAAGTGCCACTCAGCCTGTCTCTGGGACAATGGCCTCACCGCAAATCTAGAGGAATAATAAAAATCAGTGCTTCACCTTTTGGGTGGCAAGTAGCTGCTCTGAGAAACCTACCCCCACAATGAATATTTACCACATAGCTTTTAATACAATTCAGGATGTTTAAACTCCCCCAAGCCCATCCATGAACCCTAGATTGTCAACCCTTCATCCAGGTGATCTTTGAGGCTCTGCCAGCCCTAAGCTCTGAATCTGGGCTGAATCAAAGCCTTCCTCCATGATCTGACACAGGATCCCACGTCAGCAGCAGGGGCTAAATGCACACCCCTAAGGCCCCTCCCACGGAGATGACCAATCCTGATAAACGACTGGGAGTCCTGCCAGACGCCAAGGCTGACACGGTATGAAATTTATCGAGTAAGTAAAATTGCCCCTGAAGAAGAGCCGCACCAGCTGTGACCCGTGGCACTGAGCCAAGGGGCCACCATCGAGAAGGGGCCTGGCGAGCTGCTCCTGTCAAGGTCCCTTCCCGCACCAATGTGGCACCTCGCTGCTCTGCCCCTAACGCCCCCAGCCCCAGCCCTGCGAAGCTGAGCGAGAAGCTTCCCTTCTCGAGCCTTAGTTTCCAGAACGGTACCTTTCAGAGGCTGCACCAGGTGGTCCCCTGAGATCACGCTCAGCTCCGAGGTTCTGAAGTACAGCCATGGCGTCTGCTTACAGATGCCACACCCCCCCAGCACTCAGCTTAAGGCTGTACCCACAGTCCCAAGACTCACCCACATATGTTATTCCAAAGAAGGTCCATGCCAATCCTGCCGTGTGTCTAAGTCACACTAACCTCACGAGATCCCAGTGGGCATGGTCATGGATGAGGACAAAGAGCGTATGCGGATTCTGAAAGGAGTTTTGCAGAAAGGACTTAAATTTGGTCTGCGCCTCGGCATCTAGCTTCAGAACGTACTGTTCCACTCTCTGCTTGGTCACGTGCTCCTTTTCTAAGCCGAGCTCCAGTAAAACCCCTGCGACACAGTAGAAACACGTCAGTCACCCTGTGACAACCCTGTCACAGTTTTCATTCACTCGGCAGGCCCCTGATGATCCTTGCCTCCGTGGCCAGCACTGTGCTGGGCCCCGAGGCTAAAGGGATGCAGGAGACGCGGTGGGACAGGCAGCAGGCTCCAGCGCAAATGACCGTGGGGCGAGCATCAGGAGCTGGGCCAGAGGCAGGTCTGCCCACAGCTCGTGTGTGCACAGCAGCCCACCCAGGGGACACAGCAGAGCTGGCTTCATGAAACAGCTGATCCCAGGCATGGTGACTGCAGGGAAGGGAAGTCTCGCCCCCTGGATGAAATCATCTCCCAGCCTGATGCCCCTGGGCTGTGGGCTATACCAGGCTAGTGACTCCTTTAAGACATCAATTCTCTGTGTATTTCCTATTTAACCCCTTAAAGGAGCAGGGAAAATGCATTAAGCTGGATGTCAACACAGGGGTCATTGACCTGAGCGGGACGGAGTGAAAATTCAAGTCATGGTTCTACCTGTAACGGATTATAAAATCCTGGGCAAGTCACTATCTCTTAGCACCGGTCTTCTGATCTACGAAACGGGGGTGATATTTCTTGCCCCACCTAACTTGAGAAGCAAAGACTGGAGTTCAAACGCCAATCTGAATTTAAGTGGATCAGAGCTTTTCCACGCAGACCTCCCGACATGCCCCCGAAAGGCCCCATACCTGAATGCCAGACGTGGAACAGGGTCTGCTGGTAGGTCACTTCTGAGGGCGGGATACAAATCAGAAAGTCCACCTTCTCGAAGGATCCTAAGTCCAGGTTTTGGGTGCTGGAATCCGCAATCGAACACACGTGGGAGAGGAGCTTCTGTGCCACGGCCAGCTGGAAGGGCCGGACATGGTGGGGCTCCAGCCCATAACCTGGAACCAGAGCCGCCGTGAGGGTGAGGCGCCCCTGAGAGCAGATGGCCACCGCCCTGGACCTCTGCTAGGGAATCAAAGAGGGGACCCCCGTGACAAAGTGACACGAAGTGACAGGGAAAGGGAGAACAGAGTGCCTGCTCTAGGCTATGCACCATTGTAGTCACTTCACATACCTTTTGTAATTTAACAATAAAAGGATGAACAGAGATCGGGGAGCACAGAGATGACGAGCTATTCTCCCCGAAGGGGACAAGGACAGAATCCCAGCGAAGCTGATGCTGAGTTTGGACTTTGGGAGCGGCCCTAAGAGGAGACATCACAGCTCCTCAGGAACTTGATACAAATAAAATATCTCAACAACGTGTTGATCAGCTGGAAATCACCACAGAGAAAATGCGCCATCTTGGCAAAAGAGTACAGATGTGCATTTCGGGGTAAATGAGCTTTATCGGTAAGGACTAAAATTGAAATTAGCTGTTAGGTCCAATTCGATGCTAAGGAGAAGCCCCGCCTTCCAGATGTGCTTCTAACATCACTTCCTTGTAGCCCCAGGGGTTCCCGGATGCTGCCTCACCAGCCCAGACCCGGCCACCTGCTCCTTCTCGCCACTCACTTGTGCACGTCGGGGCCCCACCGACATCCAGGGACGCTGATTTGGTGACAGAGGAGGCAGTAAGTGAGGATGAAATATGGCCTTGATTTTCCTGATGAAATTTGTCCAGCAAAACATCAATGTCGCCCTCTGCCCCAAAACAGGGAGAATAACAGAAATGGGTTTTGCATCTCGTGAAATTCAGCAAACACCTACGGAACACCTGCTATGTATCAGGCGCTGTCCTGAGCCTGGGGAACTGGAGATAAAGGAGACGTGGCCAGTCTTGCCAACGAGTCCACAGCCTATCAAGGAAGCTACACAGTGACACCGTAGGTACTAGGACAGAAGGAAGAATGAGGTGCTAAAGGACAGGAGGAAGGTCCCAGCCCATCATGAAGGGGGCTGGCAAAGGTTTCTGGGAGGACATGGGTAAGTCTTGAGGGGTGAGCAGCCAAAGATGGGAGAAGGGCACGCACAGCACATAACCCATGGACCGAGGCACAGAGAACACACTGCTGCAGCGAGAAGCTTCAAAGCAGTTCAGAGCGGGAGGTAGGAGCCATGGTGGACGAGGCCTGAGAAGCAGAGGGGGACAGGCACAAAGCTTTCATGTGCCCCCAAAACAGAAATGACAAAGCCCCCACCTAGGACAACCCACAGCCAGCGCAGGAAGATGGCAGCCAGGGACCATGCCCACCAGGGCCTCAAATGCTGAGGCACAGGACATAACAGCCACCCTGCACATCTAAGTCAAGGCCAGCCTCAGCAGGTCACTAGGCGACGAGCTCTGAGATGACCTCCTTCCTTGTGCCTTCGTTCATTTCTGTCACTTATGAATCTGCAGCTGTCTGACTACAAGCCTACCTGGACAGAGGGAGCTAAAGAAGGCCCCCAAGGAGTCCACCTTCCCCGTAAGCAGGGCATAATTGACTTCTTTCTGGTACTCCGCTGGGGTGAGGAGGCTCTCGGAAAGGATCCGGGCTTGGTATTTTCCTGGAAAACAGACAACGACTTCCACTGGGCCTCTCCCCTTCGGAGCAGCATACGAGCTCCTTGATGACGGGTTTACGGCTGTACCTCCTTATGTCTGTCCCCCGAGCCCAGCACCGTGCCTGGCTAAGAGCAGGGGTTCATGCTGGTTGCGTGGCAGCATGGCGCCCCATCCCAGCCCAGTGCAGCAGGGAGGGGAATAGAGGGGAAATCCAGAGGCACCGGCGTTGGAACCCACCTCTCCCCACTTCCTGGCTGCGTATTTAACCCTCCTGGACCCCACTTCCTTATCTGGAGCACAAGGCTAACAACAGTAGTACCCACTTCACAGGACTACTGTGCAAAGAAAACAAGACCATAGATACGGAAAGTTCACCTTAACGCCTGACACACAGCAGGGGCTCAGGTGTACGACTCGAATCAATGTAAAAAAATTACACTGATGGGGCAAAGGGGGTCAAATATAGGGTTTAGGAGGAGGGTGAAGTGGGTAAAGGGGATCAAATATATGGTAGCTGAAGGAAATTGGACTTTGGGTGGTAAACACAATAGAATATACAGATGTCAAATGGTAATGTACACCTGAAAATTATATAATTGTATTAACCAATGTTACCCCGATAAACTCAATTAAAAATAAAAAAATAAAAATAATTTCTAAGAAACACGGAATGAGTTTAGGATCAAAGAATGCTACAAGATAACGGGAACATTCCACAGTAACGGTGTGAGTTTTTTAAAGGAAATTTAAATACAAAAATTTCGGATTTAAAATGTATAACACCTGTGGTACCATTTCTTTAAATGGGCCAAAAAAATATGAGCGCACTGATCGGCCAAAAACGATCTGACACGTACAAGTTGACTCATGAAAATCCATGAGTACTATGGGAAAGTGTTAAGTATGAAGTTTTAGTCTTGACTAATAATTCTAAATCTCTGTTTGTATCCATGACTCCTTTAGAAAATGCTAGATTCAGAATCTCCCTTTTTTTTTTTTCCTACTAAAATATGAAGCTGGGAATTAGGCACGCACATGGCTCTGAGAGAATGAATTCGCGAGGTCGGTCATTGCACAGGATAACAAGAGAGTATGCACAGAGGACCGACCTGGCACATAAAAGTTGCTTGACACATTGCATTTCTTCCAAGAAACTGTCCTCTACTTTCCGTCACCCAGCTGCAGCCACGGGCACACGCTGGACTTTGTTATTCTTGATAACCAGGCCCTTTAGTAACCTTCACCTCCAGGACCCCGCCCTCCGACCACCTGACTCCACACTCTGAGAATCCCACTGCTCTCTCCGAAACCAGGGCCCTCCTGGACATTCTCCCGCCTTCCTTCGCTTCCTGTCCTCACGTCTCTCCTCCCCGGACTGAGATCCCATGTCCATCCGCAGACACTCCCTAGCATCCATCCTCGACGCTGGCCACTCTCGCTGGCCAAACCCTCCTCCTGCTCCAGATCACTGTCCAAGCTGCTGGACACACAGCTGGAGAAAAGGCTCTCGCCACGCCGACGCGTGTCCCGGACCCTCGGAAGCACTGAAGCCCTGTCTGGGCCAACGCCGCCACCTGCGTGCCACAGCCCAGCCCCTCTCTCCTGCTCACGGACGATTCCTTCTAATCATCACCTGTTCTCGCCTGCTTCACCCATTTCTCCCTCCCCGTTGCCTCATTCCTCATACCAAACACGCTCTCCAATTTCCCCAGTTAAAACAAAACAAGAAAGCCCTGATCTCATTCCTTCTCCAATTATCATCTCATTTCTCTACGCCCTTTAAGGCAAAAGACCTCAAGTAGTCGATATTTGTTACTTCACTCATTCTCTCTTGAGCCCAACCCAACGACACCTTCATCCCCACCACCCACCAGGACGCTCTGTCGGGGTCACCGATGACCGTCCTGTTGACAGAGGGAGGAGCCAATTCTCAGGCCTCGACTCACCCGATCGAACAGGAGCATCTGACACATTCATCGCCTCTTCCTTCCCGAAACGCACCCTCCCCTCGGCCCCCCGAATCCCCTCTCTCTGCCCCCTCTTCTCCCGCTCCGCCCTTTCCCTCTCTCACAGGACTAGTCCTCAGACCGCGTCTTTCCTTCTACGCCGATGGACCAGTCATGCACCCATCTCTTGGCCTCCAAACCCCATAAATGCTGGCAACTCCCTTAATCTTTAAACCCAACCTCTGCCCTGAACTTCTGATTTTCACATCCCACTGCCTGCCCAGCTGGATATCTGAAATGTAGGCCAAGCTAGTCAAAGAGAACTCTCGACGCCACCCCAACCTCCACTGTCGCCTCCTCCCTTCACAAACAAACAACTTTTAAAAACAATTCTAAGAAAAGAAAATAAACACTTCTCCTGCCGTCCCTCCCATCTCAACAGAAGGCAACTGCGTTATTCCAGCTGCACGGGCCGAACGCCTCAGGGTGGTCCCCGAGTCCCCGCTTCCTCCCGCGGTTCACACGGGACCCACGGCAAACCCTAAGGGCACCAACTTGAAAATACACGCAGCATCCGGCCACTTCTCTCCACCTCCCCCAGCCTAGTCCGAGACACCGCGACGCCCAGACGAATCCAGCAGCTCCTCCCTGGTCACGCCACCCTCCCCCAGTCCATTCTCCACACGCAAATGGGGCGATGCTTCTAAGACCGAAGTCGGATTCCATCTCTTCTCTGCTCAGAAACCTTCCACTGGTCTTCCAACTCGCACGGGAAAACCCCAAAGCTCTGACATGGCCTTCAGGGCCCTGCACAGTCCCACAGTCCCGCCCTCCGCCCTGGCTGTCCTGCTGTCTCTTTATCACGCCGAGCACCGTAGGTCGCCACGTGGTCTTGGGGAGCCCTGCAGCTGCCTCGATGTATCATTTGCTTCACTGTTCCTCTCAGGTCTCTGGTTTAAAGACACCCCATGAAAAAGGTTCTCCTGACCTCCCTTAGAAGTCAGGACCCCCAACTGCGTTCCTCCAACCCTTCGCCCTCCCACCTGCGAGGTTCTGTGCTGGATTTGGGGTCTCCTCCACCCGAAGGCAGGGACTTTCCTCCTGTGTCCCCAGCTCCTGACTGAAGCTGCACAAAGTAGGTCTTTCAACAAGTTTTTAAACAATGATCAGTTAACTGGCTCACATGACACAATAAGGTCACTGTTTTTATCTCCACTAGAGAGGTGAAGAAGTCGAGGGCCAGAGTCACTAAGAGGCCAATCACACGGCCAGGTGCCCGGGGAGCCAGGTTTTCTACGGCTCCTGGTGTCTCTGGGGGCGGCATGGGGACTGTTCACCTTCCGTGCGGGAGGAACGTCAACCGAGGGGCTCCAGGGCACGAGTGGCAGGCGCCAGGAGGGCCACCGAGCACTCGCTGCGGTTACTACCCAACTGCTGGGGCAAAGCCAGGGCCACGAGAGGCGAAACGGGCAGAACTGCAAAGGAGGGCGGCTGGGAAACTGACACGGGAGACGGCCCTGGCCAGGCGGCACGGGCGGGGGCGGGGGGCTCACCGGTGACGGCGATGCAGGAGTCGATGGCGGGGCTCCGGCAGGCGCAGATGATCACCACGTAGTTGGTCTTGGCCAGCTTGCCCTCGACGAGCAGCCGGAACATCTCGGAGAGGCCCTCGGCCAGAGAGTGGGTGCACTCGATGATGTGCACACTGTCGTTGCAGGAGCTGGCGGCCAGGCCGGCCAGCCAGGGGAGCTGCGCCGAGGTCACCTGCGCCACCGCACCGGGCGCCGGCGGGAAGGGCTGCGGCGGCGCCTGCTGGGGCTGCCGGGTCTCCGTCAGGTGTGACTCACGCCAGGAGCGCAGGAAGATCTGCTCCAGGTCCTCCATCAGAGGCACCTGGTCGGCCGCTGGCAACAACAGGCGACAGGCAGGAGGAAGAGGCTTCAGCGCCCGCCCCGCACGGCGGCTTCACACAAACACAACAGGGTGGCTCTGGGGGGACGCGCGCCCGCTAATTTAAAAACAACGCGCTCTAAATTATGTGCGCCGCGGCGGTGACAGACGGCTGGGAAACGGAGGAGGAAGCGAAAGCGCCATCGTCACGCCATCCTAACGGAAACAACGGCGTCTGTGGATTTCTCACTTTATTTTTCACGTTCGGATTTTAAATCGCGGAGGGACTGTGGGCATACAACTTCGGGGAGTGTCTCCTCCCCACCACAACCACGTTTGCATGAATAGCGCCGTTCACGGACACACGACGCCCCGTGATGTGGAGGCGCCATCGCTCACTCAGCAACGTCGCTGTGCATCTTTTTACGGCCTCTGAAGAATCACCTTTATGAATACTTCTGCGGTACACATCTCTGTGTACAGAACATGACGTCCTCGGGCCAAATTCTCAAAAGTGGACTCACGGAGCCGAGCAATACACATTAGCGGGCTGCTTCTAGAGGGTCTAAGCGTGTTGACTTACCATGACATTAAGGGCATACGAACGTACTGGTTTTATTATACCCTTAGCTCTGCTGGATACCGTCATTTAGGTTGGTACCCATCATTTGAGAAAAACTTTGTTGGATTTACTAATTTGCATCTCTTTGATAACTAGTGAAACTGAATACTTTCAACTATGTGTTTCCTACAGCTACTCTCTGGTTTGCATGTCCAAATTTCATATTTGCCTGCGCTGGAGGACAGAGCGTCACCTCGATCTAGAAGGCGTGTTCCAGGCCGGCTCCGCCCAGCACCAGCTTTGGGGCCTCAAGCTCTCTCACGTGAAAAAACGGGGATCACACCGTCCACTCACCCGGCTGTGTCAAAACCTGATGAGATTAGCTGCTACAGCTCCCATCTTTAAAATCTTCCCCCTGAGCCCACATCCCCTGCCAGAACTACCGCCAGCCAGCAAAGGCCCCCGGGAGAGCTGTCCGTGACACACTTGTTTTCCCACCTCCGTTTTCCCGGACCCGGTCCAGTGCGGCTTCTGTCCCCACGCTCCCCAAACACCACCCATCGAGGCTGCCGATCACTTCCACTTGCCCAAACCCAACTCAGCCCTTGGCCGGCAAGTCACTGGTGCGTTATCGCTATAGACTTTGACTCCGTATTTCACTCCCACCCTCCAGAGCCGGTCAGCGGTGGTCAGTGACGAAGGCTCGTGCGCGTTCCCCCCTTTGGGGAGCACTCTACCAGGGGCTCCCACGAAAGGGGAGGGAGACTCACCCAGCTGGACGAGATAGTAGACGGTGAGCAGGAGCTGCATCTCCTGTGAGATGGGCTGCGCGGCGCAGGCCCCGTGCTGTTCGTAGGCGCGCGAGACGGACTGGGAGTTCTGGTAGCACGTGTACAGCAGCGGGCTCACGACCACGTCGTTCAGGTTCCCGCAGAGGTAGGGGAAGTTCCCGTGGCCTGTGGAAGAACAGCATCCGCTTGGCGCTTGGCAGCTGGCCTTGGCCACAGGGGCCCGAGGGGTGCGCATCTCTGAACGCAGGTGCACTAAGGCACGCAGGCGAGTGGCCCCTGGGGGACTTAGCGCCGTTTTCTGGGGAAATCCCAGCCTCCGGCCCTCGCTGATCTGATCGAGGGCCCCTGCTCTGACAGCTGAGCGGGGTCGGGCCTACGCAAGTCGGGGAGGAGCCAGAGGAGCACACGCAGTACGGAGCAAGGTTCAGCTTAACACGGAGGGGCTGTGTGGGGCAGGAAGCAGCGAGAACTCGGGGAACCGAGAAGGTGGCCTGTGTCTGAGACGGTGGCTGTTAGCGCAGGTCTGCGGGCCCCACCCCGACTTCTCCAAGGCTCCTGCTCAGAGCGGATGCTGGAGCAGCGCTGTCCGCACCACCAAGCCCGCACCCCGCCTTGCCCCTTCTCTCAACGCCGTGTCCTGGGGGCCTAACACACGGTGGCCACACTCAGAACGCACGCAACACGGCTGAGGGCTGGCCGTCATTTCAGTCGGCCGACAGGGCCTAGCAGGATGACTGGCCCCGCCTCTCACCCAGCTCAGGACCCAGATTTGCGCCCTTCTTCCTGAATACCCTGTCCATTTTCTGGTTTTTAGTGGGGAGAAAAAGGCGCGCCCTTTCTTCTTTCTTACCAGTTAGACACCTCTCCCCCTTTCCACTCCTCTCTCCTCTGTTCCTACATGACACCTAACACGGCACTGGCTTATTTAAGGACCTCCCAGGCGTGTGTGTGCGTGTGTGTGTGTGTCACTATGTGCCCGCACACAGTGCCGGGGGCCATCGTCAGACAAGTCCTACCAAGGCCCCACATTTCAAGGCCATGAAAAAAAGGGATTTCTTCCGCAGAACCAAAAACCTCCCTCCACGTAGCACACGTTAGCCCCGGACACAAAACGGAGATGAAATCTAGCTTTGTTTTATGCTTCTACATGGTGAGCACAGCTCTCTCTGCTCCACCAAAATCAGATGTCACAGTCAGAAAACACTAGTGACACAGGGAGACAGCAGGACACCCCCTCAGACCGGGGCTCCCGGTCTAATAAATGAGCAAAGGGCCGGGACCCAACTAACCCGCGGCGCTGAGCGCTGGGCCTGCTGCCCCAGCGGCAGCTCAGCGAAGCTGACCGAGCGAAGGAAGGGACACGGGAACGGGCAAACGGATGTCGTGGCACGGAACTGTTTTACTCGGGCTCGTGGTGGACATCCGTGACGAGCTCCGTAACCCTTGCCATCTGACCCGGGGCGACGCCCACGACACGTCTGCTTAGTTCTTTCGTTGCCGTGGCAAGGGCTTCAGATTTGCTCGGGACACCCTTGGAGTCACGCTGGAATGACGTCTGGGTGCTGCCTGCTTCTCGTGCAGCCCTTTGGGCCCCCTTCCCCCAACACTTGTCGCATAGTACTCGCCTTTAAATATCACCGGCTTGGCCTTGCATATTTTCATCAAGTTGTCGGGGACGGACACTGGTTCTCCAGAGGCCACGACGGGAAAGGTGACCGAAGCTGGTCCCGCCAAGCCAACCTGGGGCATGCAGGACGTTCCCGTGCTCTCTAGGGACACGCCGAGGGTGTTAGGAAGACATGGAGACGAGACGTTCCGCTCCAGCAGACCTGACGTCAGAACTGCCCACAAATCTGCTACACCCTGACGCTTACCCCCGCCCGCGGGTGCAGCCAAGTCCTGGACTCACAGACTCCTGAGGTCGAAAGCATCTTTAAGGGCGCTCAGTCCAACCTTCCCCACCAAAGGACCCAGTCCCCTTGTCTCCAATATCCCTGCCAAGTAAGTGGCAAGCCCCTTCTTAAATTCCTATAGGACCTGGGAACTCACTGCCGTACAGCAAACCTAATACGTGGGAAAAGAGCTCGCTTTGTCTAGCCAAAGTCGGCCTCCCGAGTACTTCTCACCAACACACGTAAAAACGCACGTGCCAGCCAGCAGCACCTCCACCACGAGTGCCTGAGCCTGGGTTTTGGGCAAGGCTGTTGTCACTCACCATACTTAGCTCTGTTCCCGCCTCCTTGGGAGTAGCCACCATCTGTAGCTGATGGAGATTCTGGAGACCACCCTTTGTGGCGCTTTTTGGGGGGCCCGGAGTTTGACACGACACCTAGACAACATTCAGAGTATGGATTAGGCTGTTACCGGGGACGAGCTTCAATAACACACTCCCCTGACTTGGACACTTATTTGTTGTAACAACAACAACAACAAAAAATCAGTTTACAATGGGTTTTAGCATCTAGTTTAGTATCTAGGCATAAGAAAACATGCTGTCAACCTTTGTAAATGTTTCATTCCAAACTCATGCGGGTATCTAAGCTTCATCTCAAAGCCTTAGCTCCTTCATCTTTAAAATGGGACAATTAAACCTACTCTGAAAGATGCTTTGATCAGGACTAAAGAGAATATATGTAAAGCACAAAGCTTGAGCCCAATAAATGGTAGCTACCAAGACCCACATCATCACCGTCATCATCATCACCATCATCATCATCTTACATTCCAATACGTTCATCTGTGCTGCCGTAGGCAGCTGTGTTCAAGCCTCCAGCTCAGTGTCACCATTTGGGGGCAGTACTGATCCACCTGTGCTCCTCTCCCCACCACGGCCTTGAAAGCTAATTTCAGACTTAAAAAACCCAGGGGAACAGAAGCTGGTGCCCACTGCTGTTAATGAGTCATCCTGCCCACGCTGGATGACAGCATGCACATGACTCACTATGTTCCTGGGTTATTCCAAATATCAAGAATTGGTTATCATATTTTTTTGACCAATTTTTGATGCAAAATTCCCCCCGTATTTAGAGCTACACGTTCGACCCTGACTGCACATTAAGCTCATCTGAAAAACATTAAAACGCTCTTTGCCTGAATGCAGCTCCGTTCCCTGTAACCCAGAAACCCAGCAGGCCGAGGACCCCGGGATCCCTGGTGTGTCTAAGGCACCGCGTCGGATCCTCTCAGCCGCCTTCAGAGCAGAAGTCTTTTCTCCAGAGGAGGAGGGAACATTTAGCCAGAAGACTTGTCCAAGATCCCCGAATAATGAGACCAAGCTGGGTTTTGGATTCATATTTATCTGATGTTCTTCCCATGACACCACATTATCCCCCACTTCTCCAGACCTCTAGAGCCCTCCCAATACACAGCCCACAACGAGACAGGCCACCTGCCCCAGGACAGGCTCACGCCGCTTCTTGGCACAGATGTGTCACCCAGCCCAAGGGCCTGAGCACAGCCCCATGGACTCAGTAGGCGTCCACTGACCTGGCCAGACTCTTCTCCTAAGCAGCAGCGATTCCAGGAAGCTTGGAGGCCCCAGCAAGATGGCTCCCACATCCCCCCACAAACACCTGGACCCAGAGAGGGGCAGGACCCCCAGGACAGGCATGCTACCTAGCGCCGAGGGCCGTGGCATGGCCGGCAGCTTGTTCTTCACCAGCTGCTGGGTCTTCGGAGAATCTTTGCCGTTAAAAACAGCCGGACCCGTTGCTGCAGTCTGTGAGGGGTGGTCAGAGACTGGTCCTGAGCAAAGAGGAAGTGTGACAGAGGAGGTCAGTCCACGGGACGCTCTGTGAGCCCAGCGAGCAGCAACTTACTTTTCTTCCATTTTCCCAAATGAGCTTTTCTCTGACAAGTCCCATCGGGGGTTCAGACTCAGTGATACGGCCCCACCGAGCAAACATACACACACACACATGTGCACATGCACGCGTGCCATGCCCCAGGGAGCGCTCCCTGGTGCAGAGAGGACCGGAGGGTTGTGAGCAGCCCCTGAATTCCAGGACTGCCACCGAAACCGTTCACCCTCCTTCCACCTTCTCTTTCATCCTCCAGAGTTGAGGTTTGGATCAGACACACTCAGGACAGCTGTCAGGTTACCCAGGTCCAGGCTGCTCTAAGGGGCTGCGGCTCCCCGGATAATTCTGGGGACTCCTGTGGATTCTGGTCTTCAGAGGCTCACTGCACTAGCCATGCAACCTTCCTTAACCTCCCTGTGTTTCAAATTTCTCATCCGTAAGATGGGGGCATAATAGAGGTGTTCTGAGGATGACGTGATTTAAGAGAAGTCAAGTCCGTAGAACAGGGCCCGGCAGGCAGCCAGCACAAGTGAGGATTTGCTATTATTATAATCTTACTTCATTCTTACAATTACCCTGCAAATTGGACAGAAAAGATTTTCTCCGACTTTATAGATGAGGAAACAAAGACTCAAAGAGTTTAAATGAGTTGCCCCAAATCGCCCAGCCACAAGGCAGCAGCGCTGGAACTTACACCCAGGGGTGCTGATGGCCAAAACAGTGGGCTCTCCAGCTGCCATGGTGACGGAGGTCCCGGGTGGCCCAGCGCAGTGGGGACAACAGCAGGTGTACCACGTGGGAAGGGAGGCATCTTGCCTCTGGAGGAGAACATGTTCCCAACCCAGCCAGGTGCCACCTCTTCGTTACAGACGCGATGAGCCAGGTGTGGACAAGAGCGTGGCCCACATGCAGGGCCATCCACAGACCCTCTGGGCAGGAGGAGTGAGACCAGCCAACCTCCCCGAGTCCCTGAGACGGCCGCTACCTCCTGTGGTGACAGCCGCCATGTTTATCAGGTCTGTTCAGGATGGCAAAACACCAAGTACATCAGCCGGAAACACCTGCACCTCCCAGTGCCCGTGGTGTTCCAGGCGAGGACCCAGGTGAGCACCACTGGGCCTCACCTTCCCGGCAGCGCAACGGGAGATGAAGGCCTGATGGCGGTGGCTCATCACGGCCCACCGAGGTGCTCACGCAGAGCCGCGGAATCCTGAGCACATGGCAACGGGCACCGTCTGGTCTTCCCTGCCCCTCCCAGGAGTTCTGTTCCAACACCGACTTAGTCCCCATTACAGAGCAAGCTCTATGCTGCAAACTGGGGGTGCAGAGGAACCCTAACATCCACCCCACCAACAAGGGGATCGCGTTAACACGGCAGACGGGAACGCAGAACACCTTTCCACATTAAAAACATGGCATCCTGTGTGGAGAACTTTGCCCAACACCAGGAGAAACGCAAAGGCATTGTAGGAAGAGGACACAAACTCCTATGTATCCCGAAGGTTTGGCCGCATAACTGAGCGCCGTGCGGATGGCACGCCAGGCCTGCGGGGTGAGCCACCTCACCTGCGTGCTGCACTCCCATGGGGACGCCCGGGCTAGTTCCAGGAGTGGGCTCGCTGGAGGAGGCAGCCTGCGGCCCAGAGCTGTCCAGCGGCGGGAAGAGAGAACCAGAGCCGGTACCGGTGGTGCTGGGCCGGCCTCGGGACTCTAAGGGGTCGAGACGTGTGCGTGAAAACCAGCTCCCCGCCACTCTGCCCCAGTTAGGACCATTTCCCAGGCTGGGGTTTGGGCTCCCCCCACTCGAGCACCCTCTCATCGTGAGGATCCAAAAGTCGCAGACACTGCGAAATGTCCCCTGAGAGACAAAACCACCCTGGTTGAGAACCTCTGCCCCAAATGCTTGCCGCAGGAAGGCAGAACACAGTGTGGCCCTCTACCAACTTTTAAACGGCCCACACAATTAGGCTGAGTATAAACTGAACACCTGGAATGCAAAGTAGTGTTTTAATTTCGCAAGGCCGACCTCGCACCTGCCGTCTTGCCTGCTACAGAGCCATCTCTCCCCAAGTCCTCCCAACAGGCACCCTGGCTCACCTGGAGGGCACCGCCCTCACATGCTCTACCTGCTTCGAAGCTGAACTGCTCACCTGAGCCTCTCCAACAAATGAGGGGTCCTTTGGTTAGAGCCCCTTGTGCATTGCGGACCAGGTAATACTTCAAGTGTTTCTGCTTCTTGGGCTGAGTGGTCAACTTAAGATTTATGTGACTGGAGAATTCTGTGAAGTAGCAGAAGCCTTTCTTTCCACAGCCAACGCAATTCCCAGAGAAACCTGGAGGAGCAAACGAATCGTCAACATCTCCCACTTACCTCCCAACTCCTCCTCAGGTAACACACAGTCCATCGAGACGCTGACCACTCACGTCCTCTACCACCAACCAGAGAAATGCAAAGGGCAAAGGTCCTCCGCCAGCTTCCACCGGCCCAGAGGTCAAGATGGACACACCTCAGACAGAAGAAGGGCCAAGAAAATTTGGTGATGGAGATGGACACAGGGAAGCTCGGAAGATGGAACTTGCTCAGGGGCACATCGAAAGCCTACACAGAGAGCGAAGCCGACAGGACGAGGACTGTCCCATTCGACTGTCCGCACTGACCAAGCACCTGCGATAACCTGGTACGCCCCATCCCCTTCAGTGCTGGCCGGCTGCAGCATCCCGGAGCAGTCGGCCGCTGACGCTGGGTACCCTGGGAGACCTCTTGAGTCCAGACTTCCACCCTGGAGTCGAGTTGCTGAGAGGAAATGAAGACAGCGCCACAATGCAGAGCCGGCACGAGGGCGGCGGGTTCCGGGGACGTAGCCGCCAGTGGGGTGGAGACGCTGCATTGGAACGTGGCTGCCGTGGGGTCGCTGTCCTGTGACAGGGGGCCAGGACGGGCCTTTCTGGGGGCTGACAGTGGCTCCCGTCAGCTCCGAAGCTCTAGGAAAGCTGTCTACACAGTGGCAAAACCACCTCCTGTGATCTATTAAAATCCAGAGAACGGGCCTGAGAAGAGCTGCAGGAACCGTAAGGCCCATTCAAATGGTACTCATCAGAACGGCTGCCGACCACGAGAGACAGGTGACGGTTGCCTCTTATGACTGTCCTGTTGACAATGTCTCAAGAAGGCCTTCCTTAGGGCCCTGCTTCGCCCATCCATACATCTGGCTGCTATAGTGCAAGGCCCGCTGGGAGGGGAGACCTTGAAACAGAGACTAGTTTATTTCATCATCTTCCCTGGCTGACAAGTTTACAAAGGTCCTTTCAACTTAGGCCACGAGGGCCACATGGTTCTATTCCTGAGGCCTCTGGCTAGTGCCCAAAATGACATCAGTTGGTGAAGGTTCAAAACTACTCCACGGAGAAATGAAACATCTACATTACAGAGACCTGGTGGACTCTCTGATCTATTTTATTTTAAGCAAGTTTAACATTCCTTAAAAGGCCTGAGAACTAAGGATAAATCTCTTGGTCCAGTCAGAGGACACGTACTGGTTAGTTTAACCTGCCAGAACCCTATTCCCTCCGCACCAGACCAAACGGATAAGGTACCAGAGGAACAGCAAACACCGTGCTCGCTATCGACTTGTCTTAAAGGGACAGGCAGGGAGCTAACATGCACAGAGAAGCAGGGACCTTCTTGCTCATTCACCATCATCCAGACTTGTCGCTCGGCTTAACCCATCAACCAGGACAGAAAAATCTTCTTTTGAGAAACCTGAGAACCACAGAGACTAAGTAACAGTCCAAAGTAGATACAGAAGTCCAGTGTGAGAATGAAGTCCAGACCCCCAGCATGGCATTCAAGGCTGTCCCCAAGCCCCCCGCAACCCTTATCTCCAGCTTTATTTCCTGGTCCTTGTTTCACTACGCA